AGGATAATAAGGAACAATAAAGAGATGGAGGGGAAAAAATGGGTTTTCTATAAAGGTTTTGTCTTTGGAATTGGAAAGGAAATTAGTGTTGAGGTCACCGGCAATGATTATTCTAGGATAGATGGGAACAAAGTTGAGTAGGGTTGATTCTAAGGATAGATCAAATGGAACAAGGGGAGGACGGTAGATCACTGTGTAAAGGATAGGGGCATTATTACAGGTAATTTCTACTAGGAGGTACTCCACTTGTGGATGTTCGGAGGGTGGGGACAAATCAAGGATTCGGATCTTCAGGCTATCATGGACAAATATGGCCACCCTCCCACCAGTCCGGCTGACCCGGTCGTGGCGGATGAGGGTGTAATTAGGTAAGGAGACAGATGAGGACGGAATATAGGGTTTGAGCCAGGTTTCTGGGATTGCGATGATGTGAAAAAAGTTTTGAGAAAAGTACTGCAGGAATTTATCATAATGGGCGGGAAGGGATTGCGAGTTAACGTGACAGGTGGTTAGGATGCTAGACATGGGGAGGATTTGATGGGAAACAGTCAGAAATTAGCATAGAGGAAATGAGGCATGTATCATATTCCGAAAAAAATTTAAGATAAGTATCTTATTACATATTGTCATATCCAATTATTTTAAAGAAAATGTAACCAATCCAATTGAAAAAAAAACTTTAATAATATAATGAAAGTTTTAAGTCTGATCAACAATTTGATATTATTGTCCTCCAATGTGGCAGAATGTATTAATTTTCAACTTACTTACTTATTTCCGGTGTTCCAACGTGGGATACCTCTTCAGGTCAGAGCAGAGCTCCACACATCTCTATCCTCCCAGTCACCCTCCTGTAGACCTCGGCCGGCCATCTCTTCTCGGACTCCTTCCATCCACGTGGTTCTCGGTCGTCCTCGCCTACGCTTTCCGGGTGGCTGCCAGTCCAGGACTCTGTTCGGCCAATGCTCTTCCGACATTCTCCTGCAGTGTCCAACCACCTCAATCGCCATTTCCCGATCCTCTGAGAGACGGTCTCCTCTACACCTATTCTCAGTCTCACCACTTCATTTCGGACTCTGTCCAGCCTCGTTAACTGTAGACACCTTCTCCAGAAATCCATTTCTACAGTCCGAATTTTGGCATACAAGCTAGCATTCATCGACCATGCCTCACATCCGTAGGTTAATATGGACTCGACAATAGCCGTGAAGATACGCCGCTTGTTCGCGTTTGAAATAGTGTCGTTCCAGAGAACAGGATGCAGCATTCTAGTAGCTTTTCTTGCCATCTCTACCTTGTTTCGGACATCCACTTCGGACGTTCCAACATCGTCCAGATAGGACCCGAGGTATTTAAATGCCTTTACTTTTCTACATACCTGTTCACCTATGCGTAGGTCGTCTTCCTCATCTCCCAGTGCCATATACTCAGTCTTTGGAAGTTAATCCTGAGACCTGCTTCTTCATTAGCTTTCTTTAATTGGACAACCACCATCTCCAGGAATACTTTCTTCCGGGCCATCACTACTTGATCGTCTGCGAAGAACAGGGTAAGGAGCTCGTCGTCGTCAAAGTACACTCCGTAGTCCCGACTTCGTCTCATCCATTGCTTCACTGCCTCATCCAAATATACCTTGAAAATGCTTGGAGACATAGAACACCCCTGCTTCAGCCCTTTGGTTCCAGAAAATGGTTCCGAGAGGCGGTTCCCAATCTTCACTCTGTACAGATCGCTTCTATACAAGCGTTGAATTGCTTGTACCGTGGATTCATTAATACCCGCTCTTCTCAGTGCTGGCCATATTCTTTCCCTAGGGACACTGTCATATGCCTGCTCCAGATCAATGAAGGCTAAATGAAGCTCCCTATTCTTCGCCCTGCATTTCTCAATGACCTGCCGGAGTACAAAAATATTGTCCATACAGGATCTCCCGGCAGTGAAACCAGTTTGTTCCAACGGTGTGGTGAACTCTCCTTCCAGCTTATCCCGGACAAGTCTCCCGACAATCCTACTCACTGAGCTCTGTACACAGATGCCGCGATAATTCTGGCATTGCTTCCTATCTCCTTTTTTAAAGATGGAGCAGAGGTATCCTGTTCGGAGATCATCAGGTAGATCACACCCTTTCAGAACCATGTTCGTCACATTGGTAAGGAGTGCAAGCATCTTATCTCCACCGGCCTTTAAAAGTTCCATATACAAGCCCCCAGGTCCTGGAGCTGTTCCGCTTTTAGCTCTGCCTATAGCAGCCCTCACTTCTTCTTCCGATACTTGCATATGGTCCGGCTTGCAGTCTTCCTGTGCGTTGCCCTCTTGTGCCATAAACTTCGCTCTACTTTCGTTAAGGAGGGTCTCATAATGCTTTTTCCAGGTTTCCTCACTGATAGAAGAGATAACATTGCCCTTACGTGGTGCCCTCAAGCTCCTCAAAATATTCCAAGCTTCTCGCACTCGATTGAAGCCCAGTGTCCCATCTACTTTCTGGCAGCATCTCTCCCAGGAGTTATTCTTCTCCTTTACAACTTCCTCCTTTACACGTTTGTTCAGAGCTCTGTAGGCAATCCAGTCCTGATCCCTGTTTGACGCTAGGTACTTCTTATATGCATCTTTTTTGGCCTCCACCAAATCCGAGACCTCCTCAGACCACCAATCTGGTTGGTTTTTCTTTTCATCATACCCTAACGCCTCCGAGGCTGCTGCGTGGATGCACTCCCTCAAGTGTTCATATTTTTCTGAAAGATTGCTTCCCTGGCTCAGATCTATTTTTTCCTCTAGTCTGCTTCTGTATAACCTCCCAACACTGTCCTCCGTAAGGAGATATAGTTTGTACTTTGGTAAGGTGATACTCTCTGTTTTGTAGCGTCCCTCTTTTAGACCCCGTCCAGCTTTCCACGGGAAAAGAATCTTGGTCCGGAGCATAAAGTGATCAGTTCCACATTCCCAACCCCAGAACACCCTCACATCTTCCACTTTACAACTTGATTTTTGTCTGGTGATGCAATAATCCAGTATAGACGATTGGAATCCAGGCTTACTCCATGTGAATTGGTGTATAGGCTTGTGCTGAAAGAATGTGTTCTGAATCTGCAAATCGAACGCTTCGCAAACATCGATGAGCCTCTTTCCGTTGTCTGTAATCTGAGCCTCTCCATTCCTTCCGACAACTCTGCTTCCTGCTTGGCGACCCACTCGTGCATTGAAATCCCCAAGAATGAAGACTTCTTCATTCCCATTTATCTTTTCCTGCATGAACCTAAAATCCTCTTCGAATTCATCCTTCACTTGCGGGGGTTCACTATTGCCAGGACCGTAGATATCTATGATTGCAACCTTTCTGCCAAAAATATCTATATCTACACGGATAATCCTTTCCGATATTTCCTCACAATATGTGATCTTTTCTTTGAGGTGTTTTTTTATCAGAACCGAAACACCTGCCTTGGCTCGCACATCTCTTCCTACAACACTCCAGATATGCACATATTCACCTGATACCTCTTGTCCCTTTCCTTTCAATTTGGTCTCTGTGAGTACGACCAGATCCAATCCTGTTCTCTCCACTTCTTTCCGCACCTGAGATTTATTGTTGGTGAAGCTCTGAATATTCCAAGTACCAAAATGAAAAGTCCGTTTCCGTTTCCAAAGTCTGCTTCCGTTATGACTATCCAAATCCGAGGCTCTTTTCTGACTACTTGTAGCGAGAAGAATTTTACATCAATGAGCTACTGACCCAAATGACAACCGCCAACCTGGAGGACCAGAGGTTTTCTGTCGGGGTCTCTTTCCCTTAGATAAGTTGCCTGCCACAGCTAACGTGCCTTATCTGTCCGGGTTTTTATTCGGAGTTGTCCCTCTCCTAGGTGTCCCCGCTGTGATGGGGGAGTGGTTGTGCATATTTAGAGGCGGCACACACTCGCCTCGTTACAGTTGCCGTCTTAGGGCTCTCTGGAGTACTTTTGAGGATGGTCGCACCACTGACCACCCTCCCCCACCCTGTTGGCGCCTGCCGCTCATGGTCCGGTAGCGCAAGTCCACTATCCGCCACCTGTGGCCCCGCCTGATCCCCTGAGCTCGGGGTTCCCCACATAAGGAGGGCAGGATTTTCAACTAAAAAAAAAAAGTTCTTTTTTATTCTACATTGTTTGTTTTATCTATTATAATTATTTCTAGTGTGTGAACTAATTTCTAGAATTATAAGTGTAGACATTAGTAGAAGTTTGTTAGGAATAGAATTACAAACAAATGTGAAACCTTATTTTACTGAGTGATGACGTTTCAACCCAATTTTTAGGCCTTCATCAAGGTGAAAGACGTCAGCATCCTAAGGCAACTGTCATTTATCAGATATAGAACCTTTAACTATGACTTGACACAATAATACCAAAAAAATAGGTATATTAAGTTGTCACTATTTGAAAATTTCTATTGTGAATTTAAAAATACACTAAACAGCCTTAATAGATGATCATTTATGAAATCTCATAATGTGATCCATTTTCCAAAACTGACTAACTACATTGTTTTTCTTAAGTAAAGTTTTGAGTTGATCTTAAAGTTTGATAATGTATTCTAGAATAGCCCTAAAACTTGGGCACAATAAATTGATATTTCTTAGTTGTTTTTTTATTGAGTTAATCTCCGATCACACTCCAACCGACTTCTACTGCTGTTAGATCTAAAGTCAACAATATTAAGATACCTTTATAAATTAAGATAATTTTAATAATTACAAATATAAAAAAATCAAAGAAGTCTACATGAAGACAATTATATTTAATATTATAACTTTATTTGTTAACAAGATCCACCGTTTCTTCAAAGCATTAAGTGGAATGTAAGAAACATTTTCATTATTTTTAAAATAATTTTTTAATTGGCTAAGAAACTTCCTTATCGTCAAAATAAGGACATTTTTATGACCTAATAAGTTTCATTTCATTATCAGCTGTTTTAGCTCTATGGACGTTATGTCAATAGTTCTTTTGAACATAACAGTTTTTAACGAAACACTGTTTTACACGTCTGTGCTGTTGTGTTAAAGAAATAAGTGAGGATTGGTTTATATAATTCTTATTTATATATGTATAGTTTTTTTTGTTGATATGAAATAACAAGTGGTATGTAATTTATTTTTTCCCCTTGTTTCTCTTAAGGTAATTTTGTTATGTTCAATTAATTATTCTTGGATTGTTTTCTGTTTTATTTTGCTTTAGCTTGGCTGTTTTATTTCCCAAAGAAGTATTGAGTGAATAAATATCAAGATATTGAATTATAATTTCCTATTTAAGGATGGCTGTGGTGGAACAACCTTGTTATACTCTGATCAATTTTCCATCTGATTTAGAGCCTCCTAATGAAATGCAGCTAAAATCTGATTTAGGTTTGTATGAATTGAGTGTGATATTGATAATACTTCATTTAGTTGTACTATTATATAAATCTATGGTAATGATTCCAATCATTGAGACGTTACTAATATTTGAACCCCTCAATTGTTAACTTGTCTAATAACATTCTAGAATATGTTGGAGTATCCCTAGCTGTACTACTGTAGAAGTGTCACTCCACTTTGATGTGTGACACAGGATCTCATGATCACACCATTAATGGAATCCCGAAGTGACCAAACCGTCTGGTAAGATTCCAACCTCAGCTGAAAAGGCATCCTCGAGGGTTTAGTTAACCCTATTGAGCAAGTGGGGTCAAAAACAGTGATGTAATCAATGCCCCAATTTTAATTACAAAGGTCCAGTATGGAGTATGATTACAGTCTTAATTTACAATTGGCGAGGGTATTAGTTCACCTTCACTAGAGTTCCTTATGGATTACATGTGATTCACAATTGCTTCAGTCGTTCTTGTTCATGGAATGCCGAAAGTATCTGAGTTTATCCAAAAGAGTATGAAGACGACCAATAACTTGAGTTAGTTACAAATAACTTTGGTTTAGTAATTATCAATATAGAAAAAAAATAATAATAGTAACTTCCATAATTAAATCCTTAATCTGCCATTTTGGAACTACTTAATAATACAACAGAAATTAAGAAGTATATATGATAATGATTAACTTAATAATTAACAAATTTGTTACATTATAAAAATAATTCATAATGTAACTAGTACGTTCTATGGTGGAGATATGCGGTTTTTTAAAAATTTATGAAAGGAGAATGGGTGGTTGATAAGAGCTAGTGTCATAACATTTGTCAATATTAGAATGGTTTCAGCATTTTTTGAACAAGTATGACTGAAGTGATTGTGGGCCCCGCCTAATCCATGTGGAACTGTCATGAACTAGTACCGAAGTGAGGTTACACTGTGAACATGCCAATTATCGAATCCCATTTATACTGTGAGCATGAGACCTTAGCCTACACATCAAGGTGGAGAGACACCAATAAAGTGGTACTTCCTTAACTATATGTCAAGTTCCTGTAAAAAGCTGTGGATCTTTAACTTATAACTGTTAGTACTTTAAAGTGTACCAGGAAGCTATTAGAGAAATTTAGTTCGGTAAATATTAAGATGAGGACCGCACACGTTAGGCATGGTTCACAATCACTTCAGTCACACTTGTTCATGGAATGCCAAATGCATCCGGGTTTATCTGAAAGACTATTTTCGGCATTTCATGAACAAGTGTGATCAAAGTGATTATGAACCAAGCATTTCTTATCTAAATAATTGCCTTTAGTTCAGTGGGTGCTAATAATACTTACCCAATAATATTTATTGATTTTGTGGTTTGTAATATCTGAATTGATGATACACAACCAGATAAATATTAGGGAAAATTCTAAGCAGCATCGTGGATTGTCCACAACTGATACCTTGTTCTATGTTATGAACTCAAAATAGTGGAACGTTTCTCTGTAATTACCTATGTTTTCAAAATTTGTAGTTACCCAGTTGTATTTTTCACCCCACAGTATATAGGAATAACTCAAAGTAGTGTTAGTTTCTACTTCATACAATCTCATTAACATTTGAATTCAGAAAATATGAGATATAGAAGGAAGTTAGTTGACTGTTCTACATATCATAGATGATATGTACTTGGTACCTTTACTGAGTACTTAAATACCTTCAGTGTTTGGGTTGAAATGTCCGCACTAATAAAAACCTTTAAAATGACTGCGTTCTGACTGTTTATCACCTAAAATATGAGATAGTGTTCATATCAACTGGTTTCCTATTGTGCCACTGCTAAGTGTTAAAGCATAGGAAAATAGTGTAGCAGAGGCACCACTGAGAAAGTTGAATTGTAATGGCCACATAAAATATGTGAGATTCTCTCATCGGATGCCTAAAAGGGCTATTTCCACACTTTGTCAGTTAAAACTGATATTAAAATGACAAGTAAAAATTGTTCTGAAGATAGGGATTGTTATCTGAAACTTCAACCAGAAATTATGAATAATAAAATATAATAAGGAAAAATAGATTCTATGTAAAATGACAAAGACCTTAGATATAATTAACACTTACATTATTTGTACTTTTTTTCTCCCTTTTCATATTACTAGTTTTACAAATTATTATATTAGCACTATTATACGAGCATAATACATAATTGGGTTAGACTAATATAACCTTAGGAATTTACAAAAAAAATATTCAAATTCTAAAATTACAATATTACAATAGTCGCATAGCAACCAATATACACTGACAGGCAAAAAATTCCACCCATTTGATTTTTCCATGTTTTCATCTAAAAATATTTCTGTAAAGTTGTATTTGTATATATATAATACATGGTATTTGTAGATAATACTTAGTATTTATGGAATTTTATAATCTTTTTTACCTTTATTAATCAAAATGTGATTGGTCCTGCAGTGTATCAGGAAGTGTTGCACGTACTCTTATTCGTCTTCCGTGGTTATCCCATAAATGCTCAAGGGGGTTCAAATCTGGAGAACGTGCTGGCCAGGCTAAAACCTCAATATTGTTCTGTTGAAGGAACGTCTGCACTATGTGGGCGTACATTAGAATAGAACGATCGCTGATTTCGTTGAGGATAGGCAACACATGAGGTTCCAAAATCTCATCTACATACCAAATGGCCGTCAAAGACCCTCCACGAACAACAACCAATTCTGTGCGGCGCTCCATTGAAATCCCAGCCCACACCATTAAGGAACCACGTTGGAAAGGTTGGCTCTGAGAAAAATTACAGGCTGCGTATCTTTCGTTTCTTCTTCTCCACACCCTTTAACGCCCGTCTGGAAATCGAAGAGCAAATCTTGACTCATCTGTAAAAAGTACAGCACTCCATTCATCCATAGTCCAATGGCTGTGTTCTCGAGCAAAAGCCAGCCATGTTACTCTGTGAGTTCTGGTCAACTCTGGTCTTCTTACTGGACGAAAAGCCATTAATCCATACTCATTTAATCTTCTCTGAACGGTACGTTCAGAAATTTGCACACCTCGAACTTCTTCGAGCTGATGAATCGCTTGAACAATGGTAAGGTGCCGGTTTCGTAAAATTCTGAAAGTCGAAAACCAGTCATCCCGTGGTTCTGTTACCCTAGGCCGTCCAGAACCAGGCCTTCTATTGTAAGAACCAGTTTCCCGAAAACGTCTGACGGCGTCTTGTAAAGTTTCATATGGAACTCCAATGGCATTAGCTGCATATCTAATGGAACGTCCATCATCAATAAGTACCACACCACGCGCAACCTCCTCAGCACTAAGAGGCATTTTTAAACTTAATATTGAAAAAATTAAAAGCCGGAGACTAAGAAATGTGCTGCAAGAAATGGCACTGAACTAATGATACTAAATAAACATTTTGATTCCACAGAAAGTAAACATTGGAATCTAGAATCATTTCATTGAATTAAGGGTTATTGTCCGCTATATTAACATTCCTAATTGTAAACAAACAAAAAGATTACTTATTTATTCATTAAAAACAATAGACCAATCCGAAGCAGAAATATATATAGATGAAAACATGAAAAAATCAAGTGGATGGTATTTTTTGCCTGTCAGCGTAGATTTAAGAATATGAGCAAAAAGATATGAATAGATAAAGATCAGAGCGTAAAAGTAAAAACATTATAAGTGAATAAGGAAGTAATAACAATAACATTGAACATTAATTGCTATACAGGTGACAATGGATTATCCCATGGGAATCCAGAATAATGCTCTTGACCAATATTGCAAGCTCCCTAACATTTACACCTAGTTTCTCTAGGAAGTTCCTTGTTCTTTTGAGAATCGTTCTGCTAGATTTGAACCAGAGGCCTCTCATGGTGAACTCTCTCTTCGAAGGTCTTATAGAATTTCTCTTTTAGGAAAGGGATACATTTACGTATTCACTTAAATATTTTTGAACCCTAGTTTTCAACAGTAATACATGTCCTGGAGTCCAAATAAACAAGTTCCGCAAAATGGTGTGTGTGTGTATGTATGTGAACAGCCTTGCTCAAAAACAAATTAATAAGAAACTGAAATTGTGTACTTAAGGTAAGTATATGCCTAAGATGTTACTGTTACTTTTTCACTAAAATCGACTAACCAAAAGTGGCACGCTATATCATTGATTTTACATATTTTTCTAAAAAAACAGCTCTAATGATTTTGATTAAACTTGGTATATCAATGTAAAATCCAATGATCTTTTAATATCATTTTTATTGAAATAGTTGTTTTTTGTTTGTGGATCTTTAACTTATAACTGTTAGTACTTTAATGTGTACCAGGAAGCTATTAGAGAAATTTAGTTCGGTAAATATTAAGATGAGGACCGCACACGTTAGGCAAGGTTCACAATCACTAATGCTGAATTTTCAAAATTGTTTCCTTCTTAGATTTTATTTGCTTGAAATAATTAACCATTTCAAATTGTAACCAATAATAAAAAATCTGGTGCGGTGCGTGCATCACACAACTTTCACTTACCATCCTCTTCTTAACAGAAATAAGTATTTTCAGACAAAGGGGAAGTGGGAGTAAAAATTATAGAAGCTATATTTATTTATATTTCATTGTGGGTATTTTTATTTGTATAAGTATCCTTATATATACAAATAATGTTTATATCACTGTAATCTATATATAATTAAATAATACGAACAATAGCATTTATGAAAACCACATATGTACATTTATATAATATTGTCGGAGTCCGTATTATATCTAGCTCATGTTAGGTATGGAAGCGTGTTCTAATCTTTCGGGTAAGCTCGGGTGCGTTTGTATTCCTTTGGTTCCTCAATTACAACTATTCTCCTTTACGATCTCTTATTTCTCATTTAGTTAATTATCAAATTCTTTCATGTTTTATATTTATCTATCTTTTATATTAGAGATTAATGTGACATGGTCAAATAATTCAAATAAAAAAAAATAAAGGTACTTTAGGGGGAGCTAATATTGAAAATTAGCCATTTAAGCCCTGTTAGAGAACATCAATCGGAATAGAAACTAAATTTTATTTAAAACGCTTAATTTTACACTGATAAGATGAATTTAATCAAAATCATTAGAGCCGTTTTCGAGAAAATCGTAAAAATGTGTTTAGTCAATGATATAAAGTGTCACTTCCGGTTACCCGGTTTTGACGAAAAAGTTGCTGTAACATCCCTGGCGTATAAAAACCTCAAATATGCAATTTTACTTTTGTATGACTTTTCGTTTTTGAGCTAGACAGTTAACACACACACACACAAACCATTTTGCTGGACTTGGTTATTTGAACTCAGGGGACCTCAAAACGTATATTTCCGTTGACAACTGAGATTCAAAAATTTTCACGATTACAATGTTTTCCTTTACTATATATTTCATATATAGGTAAGTAAAAGTAAAAATGATTAAATATAAACTGTGAAAATTTTTGATCATTGGCTGCTAAAGAAGTGAGGGATGGTTATGTGGGATCGAAGAAACCCGAGCTTGGCCAAAAGGTTAGGATTGGCTTCCAAACGTAACACAATTGTAATATGCCTTTTTATATAAGACTTATATAAGCCTTTTTTACTCTTATATTTCATTTTTATTTGTTTTTTACTTCAAGGAAGCATATTCATGGAAATATTCTATATTTTATTTAGATTTTAGTTCCTTAGTCATTAATGTAAATATTTACACATTCCACAATTATAAATGTAGTTCACATTTTTCATGTTATTACTTATATGAATTTAATTTTTATTTCAGAAAATGGAGACACTAAAGCGAAAATTGAAGCTTTGAAAAATATTATTCATTTAATTGCAAATGGAGAGCGTCTACCTGGTTTACTTATGCATATCATACGTTTTGTTTTGCCATCACAAGACCATACCATAAAAAAATTACTGCTTATATTTTGGGAAATCGTTCCTAAAACTACTCCAGATGGCAAACTTCTCCAGGAAATGATTTTGGTTTGTGATGCCTATCGGAAGGTTAGTTTTTATTTAGTTAATTTGAAAAATATTTACTTACCTTCTAATTTTTGTGTCAATTTTCTTTTCTTTTTCCTCCATTAATTCTTTAGTATCCCTTTAGAAATATTAATTATTTTAGGGATAGATTTTAATGATAGTATTTAGCATTAAGTATTTCTTTCATAATAATGTGAAGTGATATTATTATTATCAAGCACTAATTTTAATCGTATGTTTAAAAATGCACAATTTATTAATTTTTTTTCTTGACCTTAGTTGGCGTTTACATCACTTTGACATGTTCCAAAAAATAAAAGATTAATATTTCTGTTTTAACTTTTAATGTTCATTTGTGTTTAAACATTTAAATAAAATCTAGTTTATCGTTTTTCATTTAATGTTCTTTTTCAAAGCCCAGAAATGTTATTGACATGATAAGTTGAGGTAATAGTCAAGCTTTTGGTAAATTTTTTTATTAATCCTTTGACAATGTTGTACTGCTTGGGCTGTGTCCAGAGATGGGCCCAATGAACGGTATACTGCTGAAGTAGTATACAATGTATAAATGTATATATTATTTATTATTTATTTGACGCGAAACAGCCCTGAAGGACTACGCGACTTTGAAACTGGTTTCTTTTTCAATTTTCTCTTTTCTGCCCATCTCTGCTTGAGGATATCGCTAAATTTTTTCTTCCTCTCTTCCGTCCACTTCCTCCTGGACGGAAGTTCCTTACTGTCCACCACATGCACCACACTTTTCAGGAATTTCTTGTATTCTTTCCTATCCTCACATAATTCCCGTGTTATCCCAAGCCTCTGAATTTCCTGTTTTATTTGTACCGTATATCCATGGTTAAACTTGTAACCCTACTGAAAATCTTCTTGTTTAATCTCTCCTCGGTCATCCTTTGCATGTGTCCATAAAACCTAAGTCTTCTTATCCTCATTTCCATGTGTCCATAAAACCTAAGTCTTCTTATCCTCATTTCCGTTTCCAAATCAGAGGTTTCACTGTAAATCTCCTTATTGGATTTCAGTCTATATCCTTCTGGTGTTATTTTGCGCCCATGGATTCTTCTAAGAATCCTTCTTTTTGTTTTTAGCAGCTTCTCCAAACTGCGAAAGAACATTGTCTCCATTCCGTACATTATCACTGGCTTTATCACTGTATTGTAGTGCCTGATTTTGGATTTTTTGGAGAGGCATTTTTTATTATAAATGCTACTTGTTAAGTAGCATAATTTCTCCAAATTTTTAATCCTATATTCCATGCTTTCTTTCTCCGATAAATTTCTGCTGATTATTTCGCCCAGATATTTTTTTTAAAGCTTTTAACCACCTTGATTTTACCGAATTCTGTTTTTATTTCTGTCTTCCTAAAGTTGGGATTTGTGGTCATAAATTTAGTTTTCTGGAAGGAGATTTTAAGTCCAGTTTTCTCAGCTATTTTTTTCAGCGAATTTATCTGTCTAATCGCCTCTTCCTCCGACTCTGCCAATAGGGCCAAGTCATCCGCAAAAGCTAGACATTTTACCAGGATATTGCTCCTTTGATTTTCTAATTTAGCTCCTGATGTTTCTTTTTCCCATAAGGTCCTCATAACATTGTTGACGTTGTTACGTTGAAGAGACTAGGTGAGAGTCCGTCCCCTTGTCTCACACCGGTTTTTATCTGAAATGGTTTGCTTAAATTCTCTCTTAATTTTATTTCTGACTTGGTTTCTGTTAAAGTTTCTTTTATTAGGTTTATGGTCTTTTGATCGACGCCGTATTCCCTCAGGATTCTCAGTAAGGTTTTTCTGTCTATGGAGTCATATGCTTTTTCAAAGTCCATGAAAGAGATATAAAGGTTTTTCTGCGGTCTATTCAGATAATATTTCATGAGAAGTTTCAGACTAAGTATCTGTTCTTGGCAGGATTTCCCCTTCCTGAATCCCTCCTGATATTCTCCTATTTTGTGGTCTATTTGGTGCTCTATCCTGTTTATTAGGGCCTTAGAAAAAATTTTGTAGGCAACTGGCCGGAGAGAGATCCCCCTGTAGTTGTCTACCTCGGTTTTCGTGCCTTTTTTGTGAAGAGGGTGGATTAGGGTGATTTTCCATTCTGATGGTATTTTCTCTTATTCCCAGACGTCCATTAGTAGTTCTGTGACTTTTCTCCTGAACACCTCACTGGAATTTTTCCACATTTCTGCTAGGACGCCATCTTCACCATAAGCCTTGTTGTTTTTTAGCCCCCCAATGATTGCCTCTATTTCCTCCTCGTACGGTGGATCCGAGTCGATGTTTTGTGGATTATTTTCTCTTATCTCCAGTTTCTCACTAGGTTCCTCACAATTAAGAAGTTTCTCAAAATAATTCGCCAAAATCACGCAATTCTCCTCATCCGTCAGTGCCAGAGTACTATCTTTTCTCCTCAGCGCAAGTCCTCTGGGGCGGAATCCCTTCATTCTTCCCTCAAAGGCTTTGTGAAAAAGTCTGGTATTATTATTCTTCAAGTTTTCCTCCATTTCCGCTAGTTGCAGACTGAGGAACTTTCTCTTTGTTTCTCTTATTATTTTTTGTGTTGTTCTTCTTTGCATTTGGTATTCCTCTCTTTTCTCTGGGGTTTTTTGTTGGTTCCATAGCTTCCATTTTTCCAGTCGCGTTTAAATAGCGTTTTCGCACTCTAAGTTCCACCATGGATGTTTCTTGTGGATTTCCTCAGGAGCGACTTCTATTGCGGTTTCTGTGAGAAAATTTGTCACTTCATCCCAGCTGCTCGGTTCTCCGAGCTTCACACCGAATTCCTGTTTCTTCTCTCTCAAGACTTCTCTGTTGATTCTATTTATTTTGATTCTCGTTGTTTTGGTGGTCCTATTAACTGGCACAAAATTCATTTTAATTTGGGATGGAAAGTATATATATATATATATATATATATATATATATATATATATATATAAAGTTAGCTGTGTATAAGCCATAAACAATAATAAGAACTATGTTACTAATAGGATTAACAAAGTATTGTAAATGAAAACAAACCGTCGCTATATATATATTGGATGAAGTAAATAATAAAGTCAATTGCTCACGAACCTGTGTATTGTTACTATGCCCTAAACCCCCTTTTTTTTCAATCAGTCTTTCAGTCTAATCGTAAGTTATATATATATATATATATATATATATATATATTCTTTTTTAAAAAATTGTTTAGATGAATATGGTGCAGAGCACTGAAAGCTCCAAAACATAAATATATGAGACTGTAAAAAGAAGGGTGTTTTTTTTTTTTACTTTCATAATTTAACTTTAAGTAATACGTCATGCCAGTTTATCAAATGGGATAAGTGGAATTTAATTTAAGTAAGTAGCGTTGATGAAAACTTTATATTATACCAGTTTATTTAAATTATAATTTTTGGGATTAGGATTTTTCAACAAAAATTTCCTGGTCCATCGTCTGAAGAGTCGGATGATTGATTATTCATCTTTATAACTCACGTACTAAACTAACAGAGATAATGGATATAAACAGAAGGTGCAAGTGGGACGTGCATCTTCGGAATGGAAGCGCTTTCATCATGATACAAGACGCACATGCATCCTGCACCCAGGTGTAATTCATCTTCGGTGTAAAAGGGGTTTTAGGTTGACGGACAAACTGATTATTCCAGAATATAACTATATCGCCAGAAAAATGTTTAGTAAAATGTAATAGAAAATCTAAAGACACAGAGATACTAGAGGTCTATCTTTCCTGGATATGTGTGATGAATTTGATATAGTAATATTGAATGGCTGTACATTGTGTGATCCCGATGGTGAATTTTCATACATTTCAGGACACATATGCTTTTGGAGGATTAAAACATTAAGAAAGAAAAGTCAAGACTTAGCAAAACCACAAAAATAAATAATTATAAACGTAGAGAAGAAAATATTGCAGAAGCATTATAGGTCTGTAATAGAAGCAAAGCATCTAACAGTGAACATCCATGGGACGCTGACAATACAGAGGAGGTGTATGGAAAAACCAATGTTGCCTAAAGATTAAAAAGAACAGCCTGATGGAACGGAGAAGTGAAAAAGAAAATCAAACAAAAGAAGGAATTATGGAAACATTATCTTCAGATAAAGAACATGGAAGACTATGCAAGGTACAAGGAACAGCGGAAGAGAGCAAAGGAAAAAGTCCTACAGTCCAAGAGAAAAGATTGGGAAGATTTCAGAAATAAGTTATAGAAAGATGCAAAAGGAAATCAGAATAAAAATATAAAAAGAAAATAAGCGTGGTCAGAACCAATAACCACACATCAATGGAGTTTCAGAGCACCCAAGGAATAAGGCAGGGCTGTAATCTAAACCCTTTATTGTTTATAATAGTGCTCAACATGGCACTGAAGAGAGCTAAGGAAAGAATGAGACCTTTTAGGTTGGGCCACAGAGAGCTAAAACCCGTTCATCTAACCCTTCTGGTATATGCTGACGATGTTGTGGTATTCGGGAACAATGGAAGAAACCTCCAATACAACCTTTGAGTCCTGCAGGAAAAACTATACAATATAAGTGTACAGTAACAAAACAAAAATAAAAATGAGGATAGGGAGAGGCGAGGGGAGGGGGGGAGACCAAGTACTTTGATCGAAGGGAGAGGAAATCGAGCACGTCAAAGACATTAAGTATCTGAGAGCCCATCTAAATGAGAAAGGCTGGATAGATGGCATAATCTGGGAAAGATTGGTCAGCAAATGCTTTCATTCACTAAAAACTGTCTTCTTAGAGAAGAGAGAAGTGTCAAAAAATGTGAAGAAAACGGTGTATAAAAATGCATTTGTCCCCATACTGACCTACAACTGTGAATCCTGGACTATAACCTCAAATCATAATAGCCAAATTCAAGCAATGGAAGTGCGGTTTCTGAGGAGAATAGAGAGAAAAAATAGGAGAAACAACATTAGGAATACAACAATAAAAAGCCATTTGCGAATAAAATACAATAGAGGAAAACAGGCTACCGTGGTTTGGCCATGTCAAAAGATTTGCCGAAATTATATATGAAGTAAGAGTGGAAGGAAGAATGCCAAGAGAAAGGCCCAGAAAGACTTGAGAGGATTTTGATAGTAGAGGAATAAACTGGAATAGACGCTGTCAGTTGCAAGAGTGAGATAAATGGATCAGACTCTATAAACAGGATCCACTACACTTATTGAATATCTTAAAAAGTCTGTATTCAAAGATTAAACTGACTGTATATCACAAAGAAGGGCATAGTAATTTTTTTGAAACCTCAGTTGGACTAAGATGGGCCTGTCTGCTATGTCCTTTACTATTTGCGCTTTTCCTAAACGATTTGCATGAGAATCTGGATGAAGGATTAGAAATCTCAGGTATCAACATTAGGTGTTTGCTATACGCTGATGACGCAGTAGTGCTAGCCCCCTTACCCGTGAAGTTACAACGGATGGTCAGCAACCTGGAGAGTTATTGCCGAATGTGGAACCTGCAGATAAACCTGGATGAATAAAAACTAATAGTTTTCAACAATGGAGGCAGGTTATCCAAATTCAAGAAGTGGAAATTCGGCGGAAACCCTATCAAAGTGGTGAACAAATATAAATATCTCTGAGTAATAATTACCTCAAGATTGGCCTTGGGCCATCATTTTTTGAAAAGAATTATTCATACAAAGTTTGGATTGAACTCTTCTTCTTCTGTCACTACAGACCAAAGTGGTCCTTGGCCTGCTTTTACATCTGTTGCCACAGAATTCTGGTCTCCACCATCTGGATGCTTACCTGTTGCATGCCCCCTTTCACCTTCTCCTTCCATCGTGCCCTTGTTCGTCCCTTTGGTCTAGTGGCAAAGATTATCCCTGTATAGACCTTCTTCACCTGTCTATCTTTATTTATTATCTTCACCTGTCTATCTTTATTTATTCGATTGACGTGGCCGTACCATTTCAGCCTACTCATTCTTATCACATTTGACAATCGAAGATCGTTATAAAGATTATAAATCTCTTTATTTTTCCTACTTTGCCATTCCCCCACTCTCATAGATACCACCAAACATTCCTCGCAGCATCCTCCTTTCGAACCTGTTGAGCATGTCACATCCGTACATATATTATTACAGTAAGGCTCGAAATTGGTTTTGTACCAAATATAAACTCCTATCATGCTCAAATACCATGAATGGGGTTCCGTTGGATTACGAATTTCACGGGGGGTTAGCGAATCGTATTCTCCACTTTTGTATTTCTTTCTAAAATAAATAAAGTCGATACAAACATTTTGCTAGACTTCAATACCTGAACAGTGGTAGGTCTGTAGATCGATACGGGACAAATTGGACCTAGAAGATTTTGATGCGTACAGCAAGACCCTAATAGTTCCTCCGGAACTATCGGATCCTGCTTTTTTAAGCCCAAAAATGTACTATTTTCGAGATAACGCAAGGCATAGGGTTCGCATTCACACAATCTTGTGTGACAATTTTGTGTTTGATTTTGAACAAATTTTGTGTGAAACATTTTTTTCAGTTTATGGCATTTTCGTTGAAGGTTCTGAAGTTCCCTCCCTATTGGTTCTAACAATTATTACATTATATTAAGAACCATTAAGTGTTGATTTTATGGTTGGCAAAAAAAAAATCTGTATTGGGTTTCGAAATTCTCGTCCTTCCTAGTTTCAAAAATTTTATTTTTCACATTGTTTAACCAAATTTATTTTTTTCATTCAACCGTTATACTTTGGTCTTAATAATAATTGTTAGACTTTTTTTTACTTCTTAGAACATTGATAATTTCGATCTAAATTTTGGACAATTTTTTTTCACAACTTTTGCAGTTTTGTTAAGAGCTTAGATGTTCCCATATAAGTTTATAATGTTCAGATATACAAACCATCTTTCTAAACTTAATAGTAAAGCAGTTATAATTTTTCAAAGTTGCACAAAATATGAAGTTAATCTCCCTGCTTCGTCTTTTTTTTAATTTTAATTGCTTAAATACTTTTAGGAAGTGGACTCTTAGAGTGATTATAAGATTTTTAATTTACATCAAAGTTTCTTTGGAGTTATGATAGCCTCTCTAAGAGCTGTAACAATTATCCCACTAAACTGTAGCTCTAAAATTGATAACAACGGTATTGTGAGGCTCATAGCAAAAATTGTGAAGTTAGCTCTTTTTTTACTTTCTATTTTGTACGATTTAGACAATAGAAATATTGATACAAATTTTTGGGAACTCTTAGGGTGCATACACACTAGGCGAATCTTCATTCGACTACAGTTCGGCAAACAAAGATTTGTATAATGTAGACGGTTAGCAATCTTTGTACAGCTTATTTAATTAATTTTAATAAAAATACAGTTGTGAGGCTGATATATTGGTATCTGCTTAAATGAGCGGAAGGGAGAACAAAAAATAATAAATAAAAATAAATTAATTAATGAATAATATTTAAAAAATACTCAATTTCTACCAATCTCTATAAAATGAAGTCATCAAGCTGATATATCAGTCTTAAGAATATCAGTATCTACTAAAATTTCAGTTGATTTTGATTCTTTGTTGATTTATTAATACATTTATTTGCAATATAACTAATATTTCTAGAGAAACCCTGTGAATCAGGATAAAATAAGATCATAAGGCTGATATATTGATCTAAGGGAAGGACTAAAAAAAAAATTTGGAAAAAAGACAAGCATAAAATAAAAAACATAAGATCAAACTCTCCCAATCTCAATTAAATTAATTCTTAAAGCCAATATATCGGTCTTTACTCACATTTATGTTTATATCAATTCCATGGCTATACATTGATTCATTTATTATCAGTATAAATAATATTCCAAGTGAAATTCTATGAATCATGATAAAATAAGGTCAAAAGGCCGATATGTTGTAAAAAACATTTGGAAGAAGACAAGCACAAAATAAAAAAAAATGAAGGAACTCTACCAATCTCGATAAAATTAAATCTTAAGGCCGATATATAGGTCTAATAAAAAAATATATTAATAAAAATTTTATTATTAAAAGAAATATGTTCAAACTCTACTAATCTCGATAAAATAAAGTCTTGAGGCCAATTTATCGGTCTTTGTTCAAATTCATGTTTATGTCATTTATTAGGAATAAAAATAATATTTATTGTTAGTGAAACTCTATGAATCGTGACAAAATAAAATTGTAAGGGCCAATATATCGGTGTTCAGAATATCTATGTCTGCTCAAATTTTGGAGAGAGGAAAATAAAAAAAAAAAATAATATACTAAATTTTAAAAAATGGTCTAACTGTACCAATCTCCATAAAATGAAGTCATCAGGCTGATATATCTTGAAGATTGATTGACACTTTCATTTAGCAATAACAAGAATTTTCTATGCGATGTTGTGAACTAGACTTATAGAAACGAATGGCCCATATGTTGAAATATAGGTTTATCGATCTTTTATCCGTTAAAATTTGTTGCTGATGTGCCGTTATAAGCCGATGTGTAGATAGTCTATTTATTCTTTTATTTAGCATTTAGTAGGATATTCCATGTGGAACTATAGAAACTTTGAATGAAAAGGGGATATGGCAGTTATATTGGCATATTGATCTTTGAAATATTGGTATCGGCTGACTATCGGTGTCTAGGGAACACAGAAAACTTTCAATTTAAATTAAATCAAGAAAAAAACAACACAGCTTTCTGACTATATATCTCACATGTTATGAGAGAGTCCACCATTACTGAAGCGTAGGCGCTCACCTAGAGTAAAAGATTCACTAGGCTGGCCAGTAAGAAAATTATGAATTCCACTGATTTCCTAAACATTGAGTAAAAAACTACAGTGGCCGGCAAGGGGCCAAGAAGTAAGAGAGAGAAGATGAATAAGAAGACTGGCCAATAGGAGAAAAGAAATAATCTCAAGTATCCCAACCCACCTATATTTAAACAGTGTATAAATTCCAAAATTATTTAAAACAGAGCAATCAATTTTATATCTCCACTTTTTTAGTCCACTAACTTCTTTAAATTTACAGTCCACAGCAATAAATTATGTACCAGCTACTAAAGCAGAATTATTATGTCAATATCCCTGACAGCCGTGGAAGGGATTGGCATAATAAATTAAACGATCAGTATCAGCCTAAATTTCGATATCGCTTGATCTCTGCTATTCAGAGGTATTAATTGGAAAGCCCTAAGTATTACGTACAGCAAGCCACTTTGTAAAGATACCAGCTAGTTATTTTGTGAGTAATTAGAATGCCTTATTTATTTGTTATAGATAATATTTGTTTATTATTGTGATATTGTCTATTATTTATCTACTTAGGTATTTACTACTTACCATTATTACTTATTGTTTTATTGCTTGTTGGTTAAGCTATACAAACTTTTCATGTTTTTTTTTTTAAAAAACTTTCGTTTTTTATTTTTAAAGAGTTGAGAACTGAGAAAAAATATTAAAATGTTATTAATAATAATGTAAAAATATTATTGCTCAGTTATTTTGTTAAGGATATAAAATGGAACATATATTGTTGAAATATCACACAGTCCTCGACAGATAGAATTTTTCATTGTCTATTTGTTGTAACATTGGTATGAATATTATATTTTGTATCTGTTTGCTTCATGATAATAAAAATGTTTTCATTCATTCATGTGAATGAAGTCATTAATTAAGATTTTAAAAACTTTATCTTTATTGTGTTGCTTAAATCACTTATACTTTGTTTTTTGTTTTATAGCAATTCAAAATTTTTTTAATCATATTTGTCTGTTTCTGACATTGATATTATATTTTCATTTAATCGAAGGAAAGATACAGGTTGTGTTAATTATTTAAGTTAAACTATCAGTTTACTTTTTTTCTTTTTGTAGTTAATAAACAAGTTAGCATTTAATAATATTTTTTGTAGCATTGTATAACTCTTTTTTTAATAGCGAGACTTGATTGTTCATTGCATATTAAATATGAAATTATTTTTTAAAATATTTTAGGACTTACAACATCCTAATGAATTTGTCAGGGGATCTACATTACGTTTTCTATGTAAACTTAAAGAACCTGAATTGCTTGAGCCTTTAATGCCTGCTATAAGAGCTTGTTTAGAGCATCGGGTTTCATATGTACGAAGAAATGCAGTACTTGCAATATTTACCATTTATAGGTAAGTTGTTTTCTGAAATTAATTTTTAATTTTCTTGATTTCTGGGAACTTAAAAGAAGATTTTTTCATTGGTGGTTGCTAAATGAGATCTTCCATATAATATATTTTATTTTATTCTCATTTTCAAAACTTTCTTAATATTACAGTTTAATATTTCTCAATAATTTTTATCGCACCTCTTTCATTTAGTGTAAACTTCTAAATTAAATCATTTTTATTAATTATTTTATAAGTTTACTTCGTTATTTATTTTAGAAGTTGAAATTAATAATTAATTAATTTTACTTATTGCAGAATGTGTTGCCAATGACCCTACAGGTTAGAGGCTACAATAAACACAAATAAATAAAAGAAAAGAAATATGTGTAATAAAAAGTATTGTGATATATTAAACTATGATTGTTCATTTGTGTTTTTTTCATTGATTTTAGTCAATCTCAAAACAATTTTTAAGTTTTAAATTTTCTACAACTATTCAGCTTTACTTTAAAATTTATTAATTTGTTACATGATATTATTATTTTTTTATATTTACCAATGTAGTTCTTTATATTATAAATATCAATATATTTATTCACAACAATTTGTGGTGTTATAGATTATTAAATTATTATGCAATATCTGTGACTGATTTATTTAATATTCTTCTTTTCCCTATATTGTGATTCATTTGGGGGATATTAAGAATCAAAAAATTACTTAAAGCTCTAGTAATATAGTTGTGATTTTCATTATCTAATCTAGCCAGCTATCTTTCTTACATTTGGAAAAGAACATATTATGAGCAATAACATTGATATAAATTTTATTCTATTGCGGGAGGTATATCTAAAGTAAAAAGATCACAGACTTTTTCATCATGCATTGTTTTATTATTACACATGTGTAAAAATGGTATACTAGTCGGAAATTTCAATTACTGAATTGAATAAAAGCCATGAAAGGTAATGTAAGTATTTACATAGTTGATCAAATAGTTTTTGATTATTATTCTATATATAAAAAAAAGAAAGATATAGAAATCAAAAGCTAACATTGCAGTGAAAGATTTAGACCTTTCTAAACTAATAATAATGGGTAGCTTCTGTTCACAGGTCAGCAAATCAGACACTTCCAATGTCCATTGTTAACACTTCTACTTTTCTTTATAGGTTTTTTCTTCACTAACCTTTATTTTATTACAATGGGAGAATTCAATAAATGGGTTATTGTAAAGAACTATTATTGATGACGATATATCATGTCATATTTTTTATGAAACTACTGTTTTGACAAATTGGATTTAATATTTGGGCAGTAAAAATTTGGTAACATCAAGTCCATAGGAATTAAGGACTGAAGTATTTATTAACCCACCTAAATTCAGTAAATGGAGATTGTATGGAAGTTATTTAGAATATGTCCTAATTGTACTGGTTGGGGAAAATACTCTGGCGATAAATATTAACTGCTGAATTGAACCCAAAACATTTAGAGCTGGACACTCTGGGATTCTTATACCAATATGCTCATTCATCATATCCTCAAATATATGGTATATTTTACTTTGTATAAGTCGGTCATAATTTTTTTGTAATTACTATACATTTTCAATATTCCAATAATTTAAGGAAGGAGATGATCGGGGGTAGTGGTCATAAATAGACTAAATAGTGGCAAAACTATTTTATTAAAAGCCAATTATTTTATTTTTGTTTTGCCACTATTTAGTCTATTTATGAGTGCCATCCCGGACCATCTCCTTTCTTAATAATGCAACGGTCAACTATTAAATATTCAATATGTTCCAATTATTTACAATTAATTTATCAAAAAATGTGTTGACTTATTGAATATTTATCAAATATTTCTTTTTCATAATATTTTTTAGGAATTTTGAATTCTTAGCTCCTGATGCACCAGAACTTATTGCTAATTTCTTAGATGGGGAGCAAGACATGTCATGTAAAAGAAATGCTTTCTTAATGCTCCTACATGCTGACCAAGAACGTGCCTTATCCTACTTAGCTTCATGTCTTGATCAAGTGACTTCCTTTGGCGATATACTTCAATTAGTTATTGTTGAATTAATTTATAAGGTAATACAACATTATTGAATGGTATTAAATATTTTGTATGTACATACTTTTTACTTAGTTATTAATGAATCTGTTTACCAACAGCTCTTCCAATTTCCTAATATGTTCAAAATAAATGCCCGGTCACCAGTGCATTTCACACGGCAATCCGAGCAAACATGCCTGCACTCACTTTGGATCAAATACATGACCTAAAATGAGGCATAATTTTTCTTTTGTAGTGCCATCTTTTTATTCTCTCTTCTCTTTCTTTCTGATGATCTTATCTTCAATAAGATCTGGGAAGACAGGATATCCAGCATACAGAAATTTCCTGAAAACCGGCATTGTACGGGAATTTTTCGATAATTATTTGGAATTTTATTTATTTATTTGGCTGTGTTAATGTTGTGAATATATTCAATTTGTTTGTTTCTTTTTTATAATTATACATGTTCGGAAGCTATTTATTCATTTTATTAATGTTCAATAATTAGAAAAAAAAAAAAGGAGATCGACCAGAAACTATAAATAATATGTTTTTGATAATGAAACATAAATAATATGTTGGTGATGATGAAGTTTTTATATTTTATTGGACATCAAAAATTTTCGACCTTAATTTTAGATCTTTTTTTTACAGTTTTAGCAGTTTCGTTGAAAGTTCAGGTGTCCTCAGATAAATTTATTATATTCAGATTAATTAATCATATTTCTAAATTTTATAGGAAAACTTATAATTTTTCAAAGTTGCTCAGAAATAGAAAGTTTTTTTTTTTTTTTTTTTTTTTTTTTTTTTTTTTTTTTTTTTTTTTTTTTTTTTTTTTTTTTTTTTTTTTGTATGGTTCAAGTAGTTCACTATTTCTTGGAAAAAAGTTCTTTAGGGAGCTATGAGAATCAATTTTTTTTTTCTTCAAAATTCTGATGATCGAAAGGCCACATTTAATGGTTTATGATTTATTTAATCTGAGTGTCCAGCATATGAGGATTTCCTGAAAACCCAGAAACGATTTACAGTGTATTGAATTTCATGCACTGAGCTTAACTGTACCTATTTGTTTTGTTCTGCATACCCACCGAAAGACCACTCACCCGTTTAACTTTGCTTTAGTTTTTCTAAGAAATCTTCCTCTAATTATTTCTCTATAATTGTAGATGCTTATATGAATGATGATTATGCAGTCTATAACATCAAACACTTAAGTATGTATGAGTTTTAAATGAATATATATATATATATATATTTTTTTTTTTTTTAAACTTTTATTATGATATTTACAACTGTATTATTATGAATACATCAAGTAAATGTGTACATAGCAATATTATCACATGAAACACGCTTGTTGAGAAACTACCCATTGGTAGCACTCTAATAATTTGTCTACATGAGGAGATCACAAGGCCATCTTCTTTTCAGACGCCTCGGAGGGTTATCAGAAGTCGAAGAGGAAGCAAGGTTAGAAACAAGAGGATTCGGATGGTTATGAAGTTTATTATGGAAGGATACAAGATTGGATACAAGAGGAATTTGATGGTTTAGTGGAGCCCCATAACTCAACTCCTTAAGTCCAAATAGGTCTTATTATAGTCATGTATATGAGTCGTTTGTAATTCATTGGAAGTTTAGAGCGTTTGTCCAGTAAGTGTTGGAGTAAGCGGAAACGTCGAGCAGTTTCTTGTCGTTTCAGTCTTGTATGAGGATTCCAAGTGAGACGTTTGTCCAGCTGGAGTCCTAGGTATCGGATTTGTTCTACAGGGATAAATGAATATTAAATAACAAAACAGTCTTAAGACCAATATGAGCTTAGATACATTAAACTCTTTCTATGTTTGGCTTACCACCCAAAACTTTAATCTAGATAGTATTTTGTAGTGGATTGTACATATGATGGTTTAACCTACATTGTTCAGTGTAGATCGCTGTATGTTTTTTAAGTGCAGCTCTATTCAAACTGAGTAGCAACTTACTCCTTTTGTCGCAAGGCCCTTCAAGGAACAGCTTCAAATGCTGCTGTACCTTGTCAGACCAATGCTGCTTAAACTTAGCACAGTAAGCTTCCTATTCCTTTTGGCAGTACTAATTCCAAAAACAAATTCAGGAGTTATGAGAATAGTGTCTGAGCCTAACCTGGCTAGTTTTTCTGCCTCTTTATTGCCTTGGATGAGTGAGCAAGCACCCACTCAATGGCAACCTTGTTATGCTCAGCAAGGTTGTTAAGCACTGCACTGCAGTTTTTAACAACCCTTGAGTAAGTATAGTAATTATTTAGAGCACCTATTGATGCCTGACTATCAGTATAAATTATTATCCTTTTATCAGTCACTTGGTCATGCAGTAGGTTTTTGACACAATGGCAAATTGCCAGTAGTTCTGATTGAAATAATGAACCTTATTTGCCAAAGGAAATTAAAATACTGTTGTTTTTTTTTGTATTTGCATAGATGGTTTTTGTATAAGGATAGATGCTTACTCCTGAGCCATTACCTGTAAGAGAGCCACCTGTCTAACAATTAATGCCATTTTTCGGTTTATATTGTCTGCTGATATCAATACCTACACCATATTTGGTGTCCAGGTATTCTCAGATTTGTTTGTCAGAGTGCATGGCTAGCACCTCGTCACACTTGATCCTTTGAAGTTGTTTATTATGTCCCTTAAGCTTAAGCTTCGACCTCCAAATGCAGTGGCGACATCTAGCATTACCTCCATAGCAGCTGTTGGAATAGAATTCATGGTGTCCGTTATTAAACAGGCTAGTCTTTGCAACTTTTCTAGTAAGGTTTTGTTGACTTCAGACTTGGCTTTATACCGCCATAGCAAAGAACAATGGGTCTGACAGTTGTAATATACAGCCAGTATACCATGTTGGACTGAGTCTTCAGTTCCTTCCTATCGCTCTTTTACTATTGAGGGCTCTGCTAGTCGTGTATTGAACATGTCTAGTCCATGATAGTTTGTGGTCCAGTATGACTCCCAGTTGTTTTACTTCCTGGCTGTGTATCAACTGGGTTCCATTTATCTCAGGATTTTAATAAACATCTTTTTATTCTTATTGAAGATACAACCATTGATCTTCTGTGGGTTGATGCTTAGCCCATTTGAGCAGCACCAATCCTTCCGAATGCTCGTTAACATTTTAAGGAGATCAGAGACTTTACTCTGATGTTTCCCTCCAATTGGGATAACCATGTCATCAGAATACCCTTTATGTATATATAACAGCAGTGTTGTGGGCTTCTAGCAAAGTCAGCCTCTAGACACCTCAGTAAGGGAGAGAGCATGCCTCACATGCCTTGTGGACAACCACCACTAGATCTAATCAACAGTTCAATGTGCCCTAGTTCAGTTTTTAGAATTTTGTCCTCCAACATCTCAAAATCCATCTATAGGAAATAGGGTCTACATTCCATAGCGCATCTTTAATGATGATATAAGGGGATCTATCAAAGGCATCTTCAATGTCCATGAAGACGCATACCTCAATTTCCTTTTGTTCTAAGAATTTTTCTAGTCTTGTGACCAAGTAATGAAGTGCCATCTCATAAGATTTCTCTTGGTGGCCAATAGGTATTCTCTAATATGCCTGTCTAGTATCTTTTCCAAAGTCTTCATTAGAAAAGATGACTGCCATATTGATCTAAATGCACTGGGATCTTCATAAGATCCCTTTCCTGCTTTTGGAATGTAGCGCACATTGGATACCCTTCATTTAATTGGTAGATGTCGCTGCGCTTAACTACCTCTTAGTAATTCTAAGAGATATGGTTTTATTACTGATATACCTTTCTACAGCAATACCAGAAAGATCTCGTCAGTGTAATCCAGTCAGGGAAAATAGATCCATTTCTATAATAGAGTTAGATCTGAGATCATAGACATAACGCTAGCCACACAATCGATAAATGTCCTTATTGATCACTGGCATGTTTCTCTGATAAAGGAACATGTTAAGATCACAAGTACATCAGATTTGATATTTGATAGCAGACAACATGATGTGGAATTTCAGGATCCCAAATCTACAAACTGGGATTCCTATTGCACAAATTTGGAGGCAGCCATTAATTGCTGCCTAAAAGTGGTCCCCAATACATGACAACTTGAATGTCTTAACACATCATTAACTGCCACTGTGATCAATTGATATTTGAACATATTTTCTCACATATAAATTTAAACATTAAAGTTAATTTAAAAAATACCTATGATTTATATATTTGAATTTTAATTTGTCATTTTTTGTAAAGATATTCTTTGCTCTCATTTAGTTTTAATTAATTTTCTTTTTTTAACAATATTTATTTAATATGATTTAATGGTTAATTTTTTTTATATTTCATTGCTTTTTTTGTAATAAGGAGATAATTTTTTTTTTTTTTTGTTGATAATACTAAAGATATCTTTGTGTTTTTAAAAGTGTGTAATAATAAATCTACAACTGATCAAATTATATATAATTTATTTCACTGTCGAATATAAATAAATATATAATTTTTTTTCTAACATTAGAATCAGCGAATTACAATAGGGAAGAAGGATTACGATTCATTCTGACAATGCCCCTTCCCTTACAACAACAATGATGACAAAAGAACTATAACCAACAGGAAGGTTTCCTGGGGGAATACTAATCTTGCTAGACAACGTACACTTACGAGAAGATTGTTCAATGCTGCCAAAACATCTCGCAATTGGAATACCTAGAAGAAAGCTGTTACTGAGTATCACAAATCTGTCAGGAGCAAAGAATATCTTTACAAAAAATGACAAATTCAAATTCAAATATTTAAATCATAGGTACTTTTTAAATTAACTTTAATGTTTAAATGTATATGTGAGAAAATATGTTCAAATATCAATTGATCACAGTGGCAGTTAATGATGTGTTAAAACATTCAAGTTGTCATGTATTGGGGACCACTTTTGGGCAGCAATTAATGGCTGCCTCCAAATTTGTGCAATAGGAATCCCAGTTTGTAGATTTGGGATCCTGAAATTCCACATCATGTTGTTTGCTATCAAATATCGAATCTGATGTACTTGTGATCTAAACATGTTCCTTTATCAGAGAAACATGCCAGTGATCAATAAGGACATTTATCGATTGTGTGGCTAGCGTTATGTCTATGATCTCAGATCTAACTCTATTATAGAAATGGATCTATTTTCCCTGTTTAGAATATCAAGATCATGTTTCATAAGGGTTTCCAAAAGCTTCTCACCTCTCGAGTTCTTATTTAAGTTCCCCCAGATCTTATGATCTTATGAACTACTATGTTGTCACTGCAGTCTAGGATTTCTTCTAGTCCTGCAGGTTCTTCTTTCTCATACGGCAGATAACCTGCCACTATGGTAATTACTTTGCTGCTCTTTTGCGGGATGTATTTGGCTCCTGCAAGATCTCTTCAACAAAATTGCCAAAGAGGTAACAGTTTTAGATTTTTTTTGTATAATAGGCAGGTCCTAGGGTTGGTGTATACAGATATAATTCTGTACCCTGGTATACACAATCCTTTGGGTCTGCCCTTAAGTAGATATGGTTCTTATATCAAAATAATATCGAAATCTTTATCTTTTTATGTACTGTTGCAATACATTACACGCTCCAATACAGTGGTGGAGATTGATCTGCAGCAGTTTCATTCTTTATTAGTTGGTGTTGCTAGTGGACCATTAGACTCAGTTTTCACTTTGTCCTTTGGTTTCATCCTGCCGCTAATGCCCTTTTTCCCTACTGAGAAGCCGAGGTATGGCCCCCAGACCGTGAGAGTGGCAGAGATTCGCTTCCAGAGCCAGTTTTCACTGGCTCCTTTGGTTTGACCCCACCTGCTTACACAGCTGACAGCCTTGACCTTGACCCCATGCTCTCCTTGACTCAGATGGTGAATCCTTGGATCCTCCTTCATTTAAAATTCCCATTTTTGTTGTTTCCCTGAAGTAAGTACCTGGAGATAATGACTTGCTGATCTCACAGCAAGCCTGCATTCCATATGAATCGAGGCTTTGAAGACTGGTCTCTAATACGTCAGAGGATTCCATGACCATGCAGCTGGTAAATAATGATATCAGGGCACTTCATGAAGAGGCCTTTTTTAACGGACTTTACCTTTGGTTTTAGAAATCGTATTAGTTGCTGATAGGAAGCCCCAAGCCTGTTGCAAAAGCTGAAAAGAATGTTTTGCTGCCTTCACTGATGGTCCTCGCTCAGATTCTAGAATTTTAGAGAATAAGAGTCTTTGGTATGATAGTTGGTAACTCCTTGTGGCATAACAATTTCAGTCTTGTGGGCTGGGTTCACAATTTCTTTCAAGGCTGCTAAATATTTATTGGCTGAAGCTAGGAAGAAGATATTTTCTGTGCTAATTCCCTCTCTAGTTAGGCATTCTTCTTACTCAGTCTACGATGACTTTATCAGATTCATAAAATACCAGTGTCCAGAATCTATCGATACAGCTATATGTTTCATTTTATTTTCATTCTTTAAAAGGAGGGATCAAATCACTCCTTGTGTAAAAGAGTTAAACTGGTTGCAAGCTAAAAAATATAGGAAACTTAACCTAATGTGCCTTGTAAGAAAACTTCTGGACTCCTGGGCTTTTTTAGATCTATGGAAAGAATATTTAGAAGCATATTGTGAGAGGCTTAAGGAGTGAGTCTTTAAGAAACAATTACATACTACAGCAGTGAGAGAACTCGAGCAACTTCCATTGGAGATAAAACTGGCTTCCTTCTTCCACAAGGCTTGCCTAATGTAATTCCTTAATGTGCGCCTCAGGGATTTTGGTGTACTTTTAATCACTGTTTGCCCTTCCTTCACTCTCCATTGTTTGTTTATTTATATTTTTTTATTCCATCTGTTTTATTCTAATTCTTTTTAAAATTAAAAATATTTTTTTATTCAAAATACAAAAACTAAAATTTATATTATAATCTATAGTAATCAGTATGTCTTTTGTATTGCAAATTGATTGTATTTAGTTAAATTTAAGAGAATTTGTGCATTTGTCTGGTAAAAAAAGGCTAAAGTCCAAAAAAACATGTCTCCCTCCTCTTTTTCTTGCCAGTCTATTAAAATTAATCAATTATTTCTATGTTTATTCTTTTCAGGTTTGCCATGCTAACCCTTCTGAACGTTCTCGATTTATACGTTGCATTTATAATTTACTCAATTCTAACAGTCCTGCTGTGCGATATGAAGCTGCTGGAACTTTAATCACACTTTCGAATGCTCCTACTGCAATAAAAGTAAGATTAAAACCAAATTTGTTGTAATTATTTTAAATATTCTAAAATAAATAAATGAATAGTTTGCACCATATACACTTGTGGTCACTAAAACTGGCACACCTTAAATTTTGTCATTATTTCTTTTCCAACAGAAAAATGTGACATATTCTGTTTATAGTAGACCACAATAAACATCATAAATTCATTTTAAAAAATCTATAATGTAAAATAAAGCAAGTGGACTCTCTTTTAAACAAAAATAAAATGTATCTAATTATTTTTTAAACATGAAATCAGAGTCTCTAGTTCCTAGTGTTGCCTCTTCTCGCTTGAATAACGGGCTTCACTCTCATAGGTATGCTGCAAATTAGGTTGGCTACCCGATCTTGAATCTGATCCATTCACGTACTTGGAAGTCTCATGGAGTGTTCTGTTGTCGATGGATGGACGTTTCAAGTTGGCCCCAAAGATGCTTAATAGGATTGAAGTCCGGGCAGCGTGCTGGCCATTCCAAGGTGCGGACACTAACCTCGTCTAGATAGTCTGTACAATATTTTCGATATGTCGCCGAGCATTATCCTGCATAAAAAGCAAATGGAAGGAGATAAACAAGCCAAAAGATATACTTGTCGCCCCTCAGAGCACATGGAGGTCTGCACTTGACTGAACATATTCCCCACAAACCATCATCGACCCTCCTCCGAACTGCACTCTTCCCACAAATTGCACTGAGCTAATTAATTAATTTGTCTTCTCCACACTCACTAGAACTCGTCCATCTTCACCATAAAGGTTATACATTGACTCGTCAGAAAAGAGGAGAATCATCTTCTGTCCAGGCAGCGTGTTCACAACTAAAATGAAGGCGAACTTCTCTGTTTGCTGCAGTGAGTAGAGAGCTGCAGGCGAGAACCCTAGTATGCATTATCCTGCATAAAAAGAAAATATAAGGAGATAAACAAGCCAAAAGATATACTTGTCACCCTTCAGAGCAGATGGAGGTCTGCACTTGACTCTGAACATATTCCCCACAAACCATCATCGACCCTCCTCCGAACTGCATTTTCCCCACTGTATTGCACTGAGCTAATTACTTAATTTGTCTTCTCCACACTCACTAGAACTCGTCCATCTCCACCATAAAGGTTATACCTTGTCTCGTCAGAAAAGAGAATCATCTTGTGTCCAGGCAGCGTGTTCACAACTAAAGTGAAGGCGAACTTCTCTGTTTGCTGCGATGAGTAGAGAGCTGCAAGCGGGAACCCTAGTATGCTGGTTGAGCTTAGCAAGTATTCTCCTTACTGTTTGCTTGCTAACATCACCACCCCGAGCTATACACAATTGATGGGGAGTCTCAACTGAAGTCTGGTAGCGATTTCTGAGGGTCTGCGTAGCAATGAAACTGTTATCAGCTGGACCTGTCACTCTCGTATGACCTGATCAGTTCCTCCTGTCATAGCTTCCTGTCTCCCAGCTACTTCTTAACTGCCCACTGAATCATTGTTTCAGGTAGCCTGTGGACTCAGGATGGTTATCGCTGAATTCAGATGTTCTCAATTTATGCAGTAATCTGAGAAACTTCGATGGGATCCAAAAACCATTATGTACTCTAGAAAATGTTTGATAAAAATTAAATATTGTTTTTCAAGTAAAAAAAAGTACAAAAGGAAAATCAATGCAATTGAATAGGCAACAGACAAACTGATATGAAGTAAACATTTTATTTTAATACTTTTATCATTAATCCTAGAGAGAATTATGAAATTTTCTTGATAGGATTAATGCATGGTAATCCCATTTGACTTGCTGTATACCTGTAATTATTTCAGGATCCAAAATATTTGTTTAATCTGCAGTTTTTATGCAAAATTCAAGGTGCACCTGATTTTTTTAACTCCAGTTTATTTTTTGTAGACTTTGAGCTTAGAAAATTTTAGTATAAAATAGTTTTTTGTGTGGTTTTCAAAATTGTTAAAATGTCACATGTGTTGTTTCTAAAATAACTGTTTCAATTAATCGAAGTTTTATAGGCAATGAAATAATTATAATTATAATTATTCTTTTTGTTATTTTTTAGGCTGCTGCTTCTTGTTACATTGATTTGATAATAAAGGAAAGTGATAATAATGTTAAATTAATTGTATTAGATCGTCTTATATCTTTAAAAGAAATTCCTACTCATGAACGGGTTCTTCAAGATTTAGTTATGGATATATTACGTGTGCTAGCCAGTCCTGACATGGAAGTAAAGAAAAAAGCCTTAAGCCTAGGTATATATGCTACATTAATATTCATGCCTTTATCCATGCTAAAAATTAAAATCTTTATATTTCATATTTTATTTTAATAAATGAATTGAAGGTACTAATTCATTTTAATATATTTTAATGCCATTAGGCTATTTTTAGGCTGTTTAGTATTTCTAATTATTCAGGGTAGATACCGTTAAATAGGATGATAATTATTAGAAGTAGTAAAAATTTGAATCAAGCTACTGAATCATTCCTACTATTTTTTTTTTTTACTTTCAGTTACCTATATATGTAATATATAGTAAGGATAAGTGTTGCAATCATGAAAATTTTTCATTTACCGGTTGATTGTGTGAGTTCAGATAATTAAATACAAGTTCATGTTTTTTCAATAATTTTATTCGAGCATTTCCATTTAGCAAAAAAATTGAGAACATTTTGTATGTTGAGTAATTCCAAATATGTTGCTAAAATTTAAAGATCTCCTAATTTACTAGATAAATATTGTTATTTGTTATTTTATATTAATTTTAATTTTTTGTTGCTATGACCAATTAATTTTACAATACTACATGAGGATAAAAATAAAATTTTTGTATTCTTTAAATGTTTCCATAATTATTTTTCTTAGCCAGTGAAGAAGATAATATTTTCATCAATATTATTAGAAGATAATGTAGAAAGAAAAAAAAGAGATTTTATTGGAAGTTTTAAAGTTTATTTTTCTTGTAACACTCTCACCACCCTTTGAAGTTAGCCTAGTCAAATTAGATATTTTACCTTGCAAAATTGTCTTTATATATTGTTAGTTGTATTATGAATGTAAAAATTCCAAGTTATGACATAACAATATAACGAAAACCGTCTAATTTCAGACTTTGTTTGGTTTACACTGAATATCTCTTTTTTAAAGCGATATAGTTGGCAAAGGAAGTCCACAATTTGATTGTAAGATCAGTCTAGATGAGGTAAAAACAATTAATAAAGCGATTATTAAGCAACGATTGGCTCAGAAATCATCCACTTCTCGACCCCAGAGATGTGATCTATAGACTAACTCGACGAGATCAGGTCTTGAGCTTTCGCTTATGAACTGGACACAACAGGCTCAAAACTCACCTATTCAGTAAGTTCAAAATTGGCTCTAGTCCCCTCTGCGAGTTCAGTGAGGGTGTACAGAATGTGGAACATATCCTATAAACGTGCATGGCCTACTCCCAGCAAAGGAAGGTGACCTGGCCCTCTCCGACTGAATTGAAAATGAAATTATATGGAAGCCTGGAGGACCTGAAGAGGACTACCGAATTCTTCATTTTAGCTCCTGACCTAGTCATATAAGGAAGAACGCAGAAAAAGAAGAAGAAGAATTGGTGTTTAAACTTAACAAATCCTTATTTGTTTTTTAATTATTTTAATGAGATATTATGAATCATTTACAGTTTTTCTTGCTAATATTAAGGTAACTTTATCCTAACACATTTTTAACATTTATTATTATTCAAATTATATAACTTTGTGTTCTTATGAATTGTTATCACCTCAAAACTAGAGCTGTCTGATTTCTTCACAATAGTACTCTTTGGGTTTTGAAAGGGAGAGGAATCTGTGAATCCATTTTGAACCTTGAGAATTTAGAAGTTTTTCCTTGAAGATAATTAGCCATTGACTGGACTAGTAGATGGTAGTCGAAAAGTATTTTGAATTATGTAATCAGGGTGAAGGAGAATCCAGTTTTGAGTTCTATTTTTTATTTTTGTTTAATGTCTATTCGATGTTCATATTTGACTATTTTTCCGTAAAGAATGCCAAGCAGGAAAATTTCTTTGATAAGTGAACCTTAGGTATTCAACAGAGTGGTTAGCTTCAAGATTTAGCTTTTCTTGCAAATATAGGTGTATACTTTTTGGATATAAGAAATGACTAACCACATAGAAAAATAGAAGCATTTTGTCAACTGTGATTAAATTTAAGTTCCAGTGACCTAAATGGCCTGCTTCTATAAATAATCAGGATCGTAATTTAGAAATACTTGACCCATATCTTCGACAGCAGATCATTTTGTATCAAGTTTCTGCTATGAACTCCTCACCACCCAATGTGGGTGACCTTTTAGTTTCATTAGGTGTAGTTTCTAAATAATTTTATTTCTGCTGATTGAGTAGCTTTTAATCCAAAACTAAGCCATCCATAGCAGTTAAAGTCTAAACATGGGCTCGGACATAGAATATCATATCATAGAATAGGCATTCTCAGACATATTTATAACCAAAAAGCTGTTTCAGTTCACTTTCCATCAATATACAGGCCTTTGGTAAATGAAAACCACTAATTCTCAAAATCACATTGTTTAGATCAGGCATGTGACCACTCTGCACTGTGTCTCTATCTTTTGCATACAATGGTTGATCCAATGTTATGAAACATGGTTTTTATTTTGACTTTTAAATTGATCAGTGGCAATAAGAAGTGATGTTAAGATTATATTACAATCACTAAGTTAAAAATTAATACATGGTCGAGTTAAAACTTTTAGAGGAGTGAATCTTGTCCACATGTGACCTTCAAGAAGCAATCCACACAGGAACGTTTGAATCTTTTAACTACTTGCTATGATTATAGCCAAACAAGATCTAAAGCTGATGGTGGTTCATTGTACATTTCCATTCCTCATTCTCTTATCAACACTAAATTTGTTACTATGTTCTAAAAGTTTGAATTTATGCTGTTTTTACGTAAGTTCTTCAATAAGATATTTTTCTTCACAGTAAACGCACAATTATAAAAATATATGCTATAAGTATTTTTTCGCAAGCTATAAATATGTTCGGTTAGGGTTCAATATATAACTAACCTTTCTATTTGATTCCAGGGTTCAAATAAAATAAATGTGAGTACTCTGATTGAAATAAAACTCACTTTTATTCCAGCACAAAACTTTCCAAGATTTTTGAAGTTTTTAACTTTTTGACTCAATTTACAACATTAGTTTTTCACTTCTGAATATTTTAACAATATGAAATAATTTTAATATTTATAAAACAAACATCATTTTTGACTGTCTTCCTAATAAAATATATATATTCCAGCTTTCTTATTGTTAATTTAAAAATGTAAGTTTCTTATGAAAGCTATGGTAAATTTTATGTACTTTAATGTTTAATATAAACATAGTTGATATACACACCTAGAAAAACAGATAATTTGGTAAAACCAAAAAATTATGCATGTTTTTTTTGTGAGTTTTCAAAGCTTAGCCCATTTTGAAAGCTGAATAGTTGGCTTCATTTTGGGTTTAGAAAAAAAAAGTTTCTTTTAAAAATGTTCGAAAATTTTAAGCCATTTAAGATTAAATATAACAATTTTTGGCTATTTTGCTTTAAAAAAGGAGATATTAAGCATAAACTTGGATTTTTCACATTAATAATAATAACCTTTATTTTTACGTAAAAAAAATATATATATATATATATTTTATATAAATTTTATATATATATACATATATATATATATATATATATATATATATATATATATATATATATATATATATATATATATATATATATATATATATACATAAAATTTACAATTTGATTTATACCTAATATTCACATATTTACAAAATCAACATTTTAGTTGAGGTTTTGAGTTCGATTGTATCTACCACTCATGTAACCATACTAAGTAGTGCACTTGTTCCATCTGTTTGCACTCTGTCCTCTCGAATGCTACTCTCTTCCAGGCTGCTCCTCCGCATGATTTCTTCATCTCCTTGACCCAGTCTGTCGCTTGGGTCCTCTCTTCCTTAGGTGCTCTCTTGGACACCAATTCATAAACCGCCTGGTCCATGTCTTAACATTCCTCCTGATGACATGTCAGGTCCAGGTCCACTTCCTTATGTGCATCTGATTCACAATTGGGAGTTGAGTCTTTGCTCTAATCCATTTATTAGATTTTCGATCTCTTCTTGATATTATGTGCAGGTGTCACTCCATTCTTCTAATTGTTAACCTCAGTTTGTGGCAAGTCTTCTGGTCTATTACTTATGTTTCACATCCATTGGTCATGACAGGAAGTACTGTGCTCATCCAAAGTTTTCTCTTGACCTCTGAGTCCACTCTATAGAGAGGATCTATATATATTTTTAAACTTGAAAAGTCTATTTTAATTTTGTACTATTCTGTTATTCCAAAAGTGCACACCATCCCTGTACTTCACCTGCTTGTTTCTCCTATTTGTACCTTCATTATATAGCATTTCCAAGTCAATTTCAACCTTTTTCAAATCAAATTCAACCTTTTCCAACTCAAATTCAACCTTTTCCAACTCAAATTAAACTTTTTCCAACTCAAATTCAATCTTTTCCAAGTCAAATTCAACCTTTTCCATTTCAAATTTTTTTCAATTTTCGAAATAAAGGCTACTTGTTATATTATGGAAGGCATAGTTTTAGAAAAATACAACAAAAAATGAGATAACTCGGTTTCATATCCATTTATTTTTACTTTTTAGATTTTTTCGGTATAATATTTCCATGTCATATTAAGTTTTTTCCAAGTCAAATTCAACCGTTTCCAGATAAAATTAAACTTTTTCCTAGTCAAATTCGACCTTTTCCATTTAAAATTAAACCTTTTCCGATTAAAATTCAACCTTTTCCATTTCAAATTAAAGTTTTGATTTTTTTCAAAATAAGCGCCATTTTACAATATGAGAGTCAATTATAAGGCTCCCCTAAGTAGAGTTTTTCAAAATACTATCGATTTTTTGTTAAATTTCGGATATCGATTTATTGTACCTATTCGGATTTATTCGGTATAAGGGTCTAGTATTATGTTTCGTGTGCATGAAAATGACCTCCATATTATGATTACTCCACTGCCTTTCGACGTATTTAAATTTTTCTGATTTATTCGATATAAGGGTCTACTTATATGGAATCAGAGATGTAGTTTTTGAAAATGAGCTCCATTTTAAGGTTATGCCACTTTGTTTCGGTTTATTTAAGTTTTTTTTAC